GCCTGGGGTTATTGTGACCAAAATTTCAAGATATTTCAAATGCACTTTCCAATTTCATGTATTTTTCTCTATAAATATATATAACACCATTTCTATAATCAGATATATCTATGTCATTGATGCAATTTTCTTTTCACGTCAGTTATACTCTGATAAAGACCCGTTGGTTTTAATAGGTTATTTCAATTTTTTTGTAAACTTCTAATTAATGAGAATTGTGCCAAATTGTTTTTTTCTCTCATTATAAAGGCACAACCAACAGGAAACCCTCTCAGTGACCACAAAGCAATACATTTCTTTCTGCCATGTGAACATTTATTTAATTTCCAGCCATAGGAAGAGGACAGAAGAGGGAGGAAGCTGCAGCTGACCATGCTCAAAATCCCTTTATATCCTTATGTGTGTGATGTTTGGAGTCCCCTGCCCAGAAACTGGTCTGTGCTTCTTGTGCTACAGGTAAAGGCTGTCTCAGGAGGCCAGCATTAGAAGTAGAGCTGTCGAGAGGTGAAGAAACTATTGAAGAATCATTTACTCTGGGCAGGAACAACAGGCAAGATAGCCGTGGATAATGGCTATGGCTTCTCTTAGGAGCTGGGAGCATAACCACACTGTGTCAGCCCCAAATGCCTCTCAACCACGATGCTTGCACCAAGTTACGCTTTGTCTCTGAACACTTTCTCTTCTTGATTACGGTATAATGTCTGATTAGATCAGCCACCTACATATCACAGGATAAATAGCTTATATGCAGCTTCACACACATTTTTCTGTTTACACTTTTTCTTCCTATTGATTCTCCCAAACTTCCATAGTCTTGAGCAAGTAAATGTTTTGTATGTAACTATTTGAAAATCTTGTCCTTTCTCCTGCAGTGATTATAATTATTTTGTGACTGCCAGTCTCTTGGCAAACACTTATCCCTGGATTAAACAGTGTTTACCTTTAATTGGTGAAGGAGATTGTTAAAGAAATATCCCATAATGCATACAACTTTATCTTTGCTGAGTGTTATCTATAAGTCATACTCAGAGGTGGGAAGCCTTCCCTGTGTAAATGGCCAGACTTTGCAGTGCCTGATATAAATAGTATTTTGATGTTTTTTCAGAGCAGGTGCCTGCACTGGAACTTTTGAGTCCTCTGGGATCACAGATTATCTGACACGTAGAGTTAGTAGTTAACAAAGTTGTTTCAACTGAAGAAGTTGAAACAATTAAAATAAAAATGAAATAACAAAATAGAAATTAGTTGTCTGAATGAAAAGTATGCAGTAAAAATTTCCTTGCTTATGAGTGATTGAATCTTTCCCATCTAACCCACCTAAAACTTCGGATGACTTGGCACATTTTGTCTGCACTGTGTGTTCTTGAAGCCTACATTAATTAATGTTTCAACACGCATTTGCAGAGATTTTTAGAAATGGGACTTTAAAGGATGTTCATGATGTAAAGTAGTAATACTGATGAAATATTCCAAACAACATATAATGATTTGTTTTCCATTAGCTTTGGGGTTATGGTAGCAGATTTTTAAAGCTTTATTTCAGCTTTTTCTCAATTCCTCCATTAGAAGCAATTTAGTTATGCATTTTCTCATGAAAGCACTAATTAAATCATCACACTTTTTTAAATTGAATTATTATCATGAGTGCTTAGTGGCAAAGTAAAATACTGAGGTTGTCTAATCAGTGTTTATGATTCATGACATAGCACAGTAAGTTGCTTGTGTTTTTCCTTTGAAATTATGTATAACAAGAAAGCTATAGCATGAAAAGAATATGTCTTTAATTTTTACTTCCCTCATGCACTTACAAAATAAGAAATAGGATATATATTAAATATATATTGATGAGAGTAAATCTCTGAGAAATTTTTCTATAGATGTTAATTTTAGGTTTGCTTGAGGGATATGTAGATATTGTAGTATAAAGCAAATTTAATATCTGGACAATTTTCATTGAAACATCTTTACACTTACAGGCTGGTTTTTGAATGCATGAAGAATATTTAATGGGGAAGTAATTGACTTCTGCCTTTAAAAATTAATTTGTAATACAAAAAGAAGTCTGTTCATGATCATGAGTATGCAATACTCTCTTAGACCAGATTTGCTTTTCAGTTTAAGAAAACCCTCAGAATATGAAGTGATGAATCATTTTGCTTCTTGTAGTGACATAATGTATGTTAATAATAATGGTGAGACCTTTGCAGTGGCTAAGAGATGGGAGTCTATTTGTGGGTGTTCTGAAACTGAAATTGTAAAAATAGCAAAATTTGTCTTAGAAAGGAAAGATTGCAAAGCATCAGCAAGAAAAAAATAGTTGTTATTGAATGCTTTATGTGGTGGTGGGGAAACGTAACAGCATTGAAATATAAGATTTGAAACAATGATACATTATCAAAATAATGTAAAATAATAAAGGAAACCTGAGTATTTGATTTGTGAGAAGCCAAAGTCTAGAAGACCTTACAGCAGAAGGAAGATGAAGTAAATGTTTAAAATTAATCCACCTTTTACAAACTTTTACTTTCTGTTGTATTTACTCTTTAGAAAGGTTTAGGAAAAAAAAAAAAAGTGATCTGTGGACAAATAGTAGTTTTTAAGAGAAGGCGATGTAGAATCAATTAAACCTTCATTATATGTGTTCTGGTTTAATTAAACACAGATCTCCTTATCAAATCAGGAACAGAATGTCTTTTAAAAGTTCAGGTTACCACTAAAGTCGTGGGTAAAAATTGTTTTTGCTAAAATTAAGCCTCTAACTCAATTTTCTGTATTACTTCAAAACCTTAGTGAAGTGGTTTTCTTCATAACAACAAAAGTCCAAACCTGTAGGTCACACGTAGAACTGAAATGCATATAAATATTACCTCCATTACCCTTAGAAAATCTGGCCCATACTAATTGTGGCCTTATATATAGACAGGAAGGTATGTAATTGCATTGGATGAGAAGCTAGTCATTTTCATAAATGATTAAGAAATAGCATTCATTAGCAGGTGTAAATACACAAAGAGTAATGGTGTAATATACACCCCATCAAAGGGCAATGCTTTCCTAAATACCAGAGATTTGGTTCCATAGCCTTTTTTACAGTTTCTTTATGTTTTGTAATAGTTTCCTGATTGCTAAACAGACGTCTGAATTCACTAACTCTCTTATTAAAACTCAGTTTGATAGGTTCAAACTGCAGCAAATCATAAACTAATCTTCATTTGTTTTAAATTATTCAAGAGGAAATGAGACCCAGTAGAGTGCTTCTGTCTTGAGACTGGAATAAAGGCAATGAAAAAGCACTGTTTAGTTCAAAATGGTCTTGAAACTGATTTACGCTATCAAATAAAGTGTGCTTCTCACTTATTGTTGCTTAGATATTAACATATATCATGGACACAGCTAGGTTTGTATCTGCACAGATACACTCCATTCAACAACAAAAAAAGATGGGCATTTCTGTAAAAGTGTCAGAAAAACGAACCTGTTACCACATAAAAATACACGCAGCACTGTGAATGCTTTATTTTAATGAATTTATAGCATTGCTTATCCCAAGCTGTGAGGCTGACGACAATGATTTATAACTCACAGAGCAGAAGCCCTGATAGGATGATGAAGGACTGTTTCTCCTCATTATGCCAGCAGAGCTTCTTTTCATCTCTTCTCTTATTCTCTGTTCATTGTTTGCCCTTGGCATCATCAGTCAACAGGCAGTACAGTTTACAAATACTGTTTTGGCTGACAGAAAATAAATTGTTTGGCCACTGATGTAAAATCTATCAAATTCCTACCAAGCAGCATCTTGAATCCCCCATTCAAGCTCTTGTCTTGAGATTGATCCATAGCTTAGGTAACATTTTACTTCTAAGAGATAGATTACTTCCCTTCTCAGTTGTTACTCAGAGCAAGATGCATTTCTTTTAATCTTTCTGCAGGCAAAGGCTGACCAACTTCTAAGAGCTGTAGGAACTAAGTCATTTGTCTCTGGAAATTTGTTGTTGTTGTTGTTTGTTCTTTACAAAAGCTGCTAAGATATCTTTATGGAGAAATAGCATAGCAGTATTTGCCATTTCCAGTAAGCAAATATGAATGACACCCAATATGATAATAAGTAGCTAGACTTTGCTGTTGAAAAGAAATGTGTGAGATGTGCTAGGAACAGGTTTGAAAAAAAAACAACAACCATGTTTTGTGTTTGTCTACCTACTTTGCAATACTCACACAAAGTCATTTAAACTATAAAGCTGTGTTTGAATAGCTTTCTGTGATCCCCATGCAAAACAGTTGGCTACAAATGACTGAAGCTTCTGAATGGAGAACTATGTACCAATATTTTTGGTATATTTAGTCTAAGAAAATAAATCTGGATTACAAATCTGAACAAAACACACTCTGGTACGCTCTTCTGTACATAATCTAGCTATGCAAGCGTGGTTGTTAGTGCAGTATGACTACAGACAGTCTGGAATGCAGGAGTAAATAAGAGAATTTGCAAAGTACAAAGACTGAAGAAGAGGCATCTTTTAGTACCAGACAAACCCACGTGTTAAACTGTTGGGTCAAAGACTTAAAAAATATCCATTAACAGTCATTACTGAGAACAATGGACATTGCATACTGAGACTGAGAAAAGAGCAATTTACTCTGTCAGTCTACTAAATCTATATCTTTACATTTATTCAAATAATTTGAAACACGAGACATCTTATGTTGCCATTTTTTTTCTATAATAGCTCTTATAAGACTATAAACCTGAAATTACTCCTGGGAATGAGCTTGGAGTTAAATATGAAAACAAAACATTTCTTTGATGTTCTGACCTAGTCTACATTCCTGTTAATCAGATTTACTCTATAGCACACTTGGTGGTGACAGCAAAGGTAAAATCTTCTCCAGAATGAAACTGAGGAATAGAACAAGCATTTTTTCAGGAGTTTTGTTCTGACCACATTTTTTGCAGGTGTCTACAATTATTCTTCATTAAGAACTGGAATAAAAATTTGCATAAAGTAGCCAGGTGTTAAGAGTTTCAAGCCACTGAGAGTTTTAACCCTCTTAAGTGTGTGTTTCTCATGTTCCTTTACTTACCTGTGCTAGTAGAAACTGCAGGACCTCCTGAAGGCTGAGGTGACAGGCATATCAGAGACCATTTTCATTTCATTTTCATATGTATTACACTACTCAGTCTTGTCCTGTATAAACAACAGTGCATCATCCCTGCAGAGAACTGACTGCCGTTTCAGACTTCAGAAGATGAAGCTGTGAGCTGCTGAAGGGTCAGTGCCACCTAACAGGTTAGGAGGGAGATCCCAAGGTGCAAACAAATCTGAGGTGGGGAAAAATTAGAATAAACTTCCTGATAACAAGTTTAGCACTAACTTTGATTCCTTTTGTGATCAATGTACAGCAGTCGAGTATCTAAATACCAGAGTCTCAAATACCAGGGAAGAGTTTCACTGTCTGAGTTGTCTGGAAGTTTTGAACCTGCTTTTGATTCAGATGAGATGAGGCTCAGCCCCAATTACTTCACCTGGTTCTCTTTTTAGAAATGCATCAGCACCAATGCTTTTAGTCTAGTCTTACTTTCTATCACAACGTGCATTCACAGAAGGAAAGCCTTGGCAGATTCTGGCCCCTCAGTTCAGGATAAGAAGCACATCATCTGCCGTAGAAAAAAATCTGAGGGAGTTTGTAATCCTGTTAAGCAACAAAGGAGGGAAGCGTGTTTTAGTTCTGGTAAGTTTTATTAAGTGCCATATAATATCTATCTTATTCCTTCATGTTTCAGTCCTTGGATTGTCAGTGCTGCCACAAGTCTAGCTATCAAGCTGTCTGAAGTATTTGTTTGATTCATGAATTTGTGCCTTGGCAGCCTCCTCAAACACTGATGTTGGTGGATTTTTAAACTACTGATACTTTCAAGACTGGCTGCTGATGCCCGTTCAATTTTCTTTTTATTTTTCCGAGAGCACAGTAATTTTTAGTGATTTCGGGTTTTTTGTTGTTGTTGTTTTGTTTGTTTGTTTTGTTTTTTGGCTCATTTTGGAGGAAACTACAAACTGTCCTTCCAAAGAAGGACACCAGTGATCGCCGAGGTAGCAGAGAAGCGGCGCTGGCGTCGCCTGGGCGATGGCGGGAGATTTAAACGGGCGCAAGCGCTGAAAAAGCCCTTGATCGCCATGATTAGCCCTTGATCGCCGACGTTAGCAGCTTCAGAGCTGCCCCAGCCGGAACCGCAGCGACTGATAGGGAGGTACAGGTGTGTTTCGGCTCCTTCATCCAGGGAACACTGAGCTTAACAGAGCAGCCCGGCAGGTCTCGTGTTGGCGGTTGACGCGGCTGACGTGCGGTGGGCGTTGCCTGGGCAACGGCTCTGCATCACACAGCCCCTGCCTAGGAAAAGCAACGGTGCATCGCTGCCCATCAGACACGGAGAGGAGGAGTCAAGGTGTGTGAATCGCATGGGTTTTAACGAGGAGAAACCCTAAGGGTTGTTAGTGCTGTGAAAAGAGTGCTAAGTGCGGGGCCAGCTGTTAACGGGCTGGTAACGGGGTGAGGGCAGAGCCAGCACTACTGGCAGCAGGGCGGATCAGACTCGAGCCGAACAGTGCTGGTGAGTCTGCTGGTTTGCTGTGGATGGGAGTAGCTTCTCCCATCGGTGGAAAGGGGTCTTAAGATGGGAGCTGTGAAGGATCGTTGGTAGAGCTCTAAATTAGGTATTGGTTTTTGTGGAGGAGGACGACGACTCACCCTTTTGTAGGAAGAACACGAGGTGTGAGGCTGTGGAAAGACCTGAGCGCGGTCATGAGGGTATTAGGGCTATTGACACTCAAAAGGAAGCCCAGCTCAGGTGCTTTTACACTAATGCATGCAGTATATAATAAACAGGAGGAGCTGGAGGCCATTATGCGATTGGAAAGCTATGATATAGTTGCCATCATGGAAATATGGTGGAATGACTCGCACAGCTGGAGTGCTGTGATGGATGGCTACTGACTTTTCAAAAGAGACAGGCTAGGCAGGAAAAGGCATTCTTTCTTAGCCCTCTGTGCTAAGAAAGAATGTGAGATGTGTGCAAATTAATGATGGTGATGAGAGGGTTGGGAGCTTATGGGTCAGAATTAAAGCGAAGGCCAATAAGACTGATGTTATCGTGGGAATCTGCTACAGGATGAAGAGGTGGACAAGACACTTTATAAACACTTGGGTGAGGTCTCAAGGTCTCTGCCCCTTGTTCTTCTGGGAGACTTCAACTTCCCTTCTTTTTATGAAATAGATGCTTTTCAAAACTTATGTTCTGCCAAGGGAAATGGTATTCTTCACCTCTACCTATCTCAATCTGAAAACTATGCAGCTCTTCTGCAGTTTCAGATTATTTAATCCATGGTTATAATGCTGAACACTCAAAAACAAACCAGAAGGGGAATGTAAATATTGTTCTGTCACAATCACCTGCCTCTTTTAATGAGAATCTCTGCGTAGTCTATTGCATTTCTAGAAAGTTGAAGCTAGTCAACTGTTTCTCATATTAGATTCTTGTTTGCTATTTTGCTTTATTGTTCTGTTTTATGAATGCTGTATTCTTATCTGTGCTGAGAGAGAATTTCCCATACAAAAACAACAATGCACACTTCCTTGGATTACTTTAATCTTTTCCCTTGAGATTTAAAACATTTAGCTAGGGTTTTGTTCAGGCCTTGTTTCTAAAGACCTCAGGAAACAATTTATAAAAGGGCATTTTATGCCATAAATTTTCTGGTAAACGTTATGATTTACATCCTGTATTATGTTGGGGAAAACATAAGTTTATGGGAATAATAGTTCCTCTCAACAATCTTATCTATAAATGAAATAAAAACCTAACAATAAAGGCAGCTTCAAAGTTTAATGCCTCTGGGTACATCTTTCAATTATCTTTCCTAAGTGAGGAAATTAATATGCTAATGTCATCAGTCTGGTAGTACTTGCATGTTTCCCTCCTGAGTGCTTAACCTCTTTCTTGTTGAGTGTGCTGGTATCCCTGTGGCAGCTGTGATCACACTCTCCTCCTGCATGCCTATGTAGGCTTTTAACACAAAATAGCCTTTTCCTTTGGAAATCATGACACTTGCTCAGGAGTGACTTTTATAAATGCTTCAGTTTTAAATGGAACTGCCAGCAGATGCTATACTTAAGTCTGTTGAGCACTTGTTATATCCTCTCCATTAGGTAGCCCCTAATAAATGTCTGAGAATCCACTCTGAAAAGTTTCATTTTGATTTTTCAAAATACTGCATGATTAACTCACAAAACTTAGTTACTGTGATGAGAGTTGTCAGTTTGAGTTCAGTTGTTTGTTTTACTTGGTTTGGCTGGCAAAACCTATCTGTGTTTAAAATCAGGCCCCTGGAGCCATCTGCCTGTTTCATTTTGGTTTCAGTGTAGCCATTCCCCTTTTTCAGAACTGGAATCAAATACTTCAGTTGGTAGAAGAAAGGATAGATAAGACTTCAGGAAAACCAGCAGTTTTCCATTTTATTCCATTACGCTCACATAGTCTGTACAAGTGTATGATTTATCCTTTAGTTTATAGCAGTCATGCATCCATATCAGAAGCTAGAATGTTTTTGAATTTCATAATAAGTTCCTGTGTGAACACTTCTTCTAGAAGACTGCTTTCATGAATCTAGGCCAAATCCTAGATTAAATATATATGACTGACTCAAGGTTGTCTTCTTTGAAGACAGTTTCAGAGATTAGTGGAAGTTAAGATTTTTTCACCGATGAAATAGTTTTGAAACAAGCTTTGTCTATGGTATTTTATGAGTGTGTTTGTTTGAGTTTATGATGTTCTGCTGTATGAGGTAGAAATTATGATAATTACTGTGTATTATGGAGGGAGCCAAAACCCATGCTATGGCCCTTTTCAGGCCATTCCAAAAGCAAACTGCTGGCTGCAGAGTACAAGCAGAAGCCAGAGAGCAAGTTAATAGCTGGGTAGCAGGATTGATTTTTAGTCTAGTACATAAGATTGCTCCCTTAACTTCCTTTTTTTATGGGTATATCCATTAACAATATATATGGTAATATCTATTGCAGCTTCAGTGTACCAATGCACAGTATGCAAAGTATGGATACAGTTTGCACAAGCAAAACTATACTTATTCTGCTGTCAGATGGAACAAAGAGGCCATAATGGAATTAAACACTGAGGCACTTCCTCATCCTGCCTTTGGCTTACAGAGATATGTCAGTGAAAGACTAAATCTAAAGTACTAAATGTTCAGCAAAATGAGCTCTTAACATCCCTTGAAAAAAAAAAAAATTAAGATGCAATAATCTTATTTCTTTGTTAGATTTATTCAATTCTCTTCTATATCAGTTCTTCTAGCAAAGGGCCTGCAGGTGGAACAAAAAAAAGAGGATATATATATATATACTTCAAGATCTGTGGGTAGAAAATTCAATTTGGTAGTATTCAATACCATTTATTTAATATCCAGAGATTGTTTGGAAAGAGTCCCTACAATGCTTAGATCCACTATGTAGCTTTTCATACTGACAGTGAATTGCAAGGCAGATAAAGAACAAAGATATTTTTGTTTGCTTCATGCTTTTCACCGTCTTCAAATAGTCACTGTTAGATAAAACCAAGTCCTGAAGCCTTTATTCATTAGTTATTCTATTAAAAGTTCATATATTACCAAAAAATCTTTACAAGAAAGTTTTCTGGTAACTGGAATTTATGGATATGTTCTAGTGTAATTATTTCATAATGCATTCTCCTGTGGGATATCTGGCCTGGATTAATCCCACTCCACTACAGGTATACGCATTAAAAACCTCATTGCTTCAGATTCCTTCTATAATCACCTGGGTCACCCTGCGGAGTTGCCTGTCTTTCACTACAGGCTCACAGGGAATTCAGGATGACACAGCTGCTTTAGTCCTTGAATACAAGAGATTGAAAGGATAGCTGAGCCCATGCTCACTTTAAACAATGAGGAAGAATACAGACCTCCAATTGTATAAAGTAGGACTTTCACTCTAATTTAATCTAGGATTTGGACTAGATTCATGAAAGCAATCTTCTAGAAGAAGTGTTCACACAGGAACTTATTATGAAATTCAAAAACATTCTGATTTTTTTTTTCAGAAAGTCTTTATCATTAGAAAGTAGATATTTTATAGGCCAGATGTTCAAAAAAATCCATTAACTTTCTCAGGATTTTAATGCAACAGAAATATCAAATTTAATGTGCTAAATTATTATGTTTTGATGAAATTGTGTAAAATCTTACTTTAAATTTTGAAACGATATGTAGATGTATAATGTGTACTTACTTTTTTTTTTTTTATCTTCAGGTTTCCCAGAAAAATAATTAGGAACAGAGGTTTCTAGTTTTTACTGATTTCCATGAATATCTTGACCTTCTTTTTCCTCTGTATATTTCTTTAAATTTATGAATCTGTTTTCACACTTGATAAAAGATTCTGATGAAATTATGTAACTAGAGGAATTAACGTTCCATCTCTCAAACTTCTGAAGAATTTTAAAAATTCAAAATCTTTCCAAGTATTTGGTAATTAAATCAAATTCCTTGAGCTGCAAGGAAGTAAAATGCTTTTGCAGATCAGACTGCCCACTTGTGCCTCTAATATTTGGGGCTGCATTGAGCACAAACTGATGTTTGGGTGCTCAGAGATGCTCTCTGCACTGTGATGGCTGCTGCTCATCAAAGGAACTAGTTTTTTTTTAAACTGATTACCTTGCTTGAGTCTTGGTCTTTAGTTTTTATCATTCTTCTCAGTAATGGAACCTGAAAAGTCCTTCCAAAGATAGCTGAATAAGCTAAAAGACCGCGTATCATCAATGAACAGAGAAACAAAAAATCATCTTTATTTCGTCTAAGCAAATCTGGATGTTAAATCAGCTAGACCCCCAACTGCTTTACATTTCTAACTTAAGAAATAGAAATGTGGTACATGCTGAGAAGCTCTGACTGCAGGAAGCTGTTAAAATAATGAACAATTTATTTTGAGGGATAATAAGTGTTTAGGTTTGACTATCTACAATGAGGAAAAACAAAAGTAATACAATTAAAGTATATGACATTAGAATGGTGTGAAATCTGTGTGAATGAGGTCAGAAAAAAAAAATCCAAATATATTTTTTGATGCAACTCTGCTGTGAAGTAAGAGTTGAATTTTTCAGGTAACACAAGTGGGTTTTATAATCATGCATTTTATAAAGACCAAATCATTCTATTGCTTTTCTACAGTTTGTGTTCCTCAGCTTTATTGTGTTAATCCAAGGCCCGATTCTTTCACTACTGTTGATACTGAAATAGTCACCTCATTCAAATGGCTCCATTAATGCCTGTAGGCTCACTGGGGTGGGTAATGTTGGAAGGTCTCATCCTTCAATTGATAAGAGCTGTTTTTGAAAAAGGCCTCTATTAGATTAAAAAATCATAGTTATACCTCTATGGTTTAAAACAAAGCCCCTTCTCTTCCTAGTTACAATTAATTTATGCAAAGCTTCAAGTGTAAATACTTCCACATTAGTAGGCATTTAAATCCTGTTATAAAAATCTTGTACATCACAACACCCACAAAGTTGGGTTCTCAGATAAGTTTTAGAGAGCGCTTTGTCATCCTATTATTCTCTGGAGAACAAGGAATGAAAATACTGGACCAAAGTATCCTACTTTTATCTAGAAGAAGGCTAGAAGTCACAGAAACCTATAATGTAGACACCCAAACATTCTTCTTAGGTTTTATCAGGTCACATTGGTGGCAACTTGTACTTCACTTTGTAAGGTACTGTCATGTCACCTCAGACACAATAAGAAAGGATTTGGCATGGTGTCACCTGAGATCATTATGGCTTGGACAGACTACCTCTAGCTTAGAAAAAAAATACAGAACTGTTCAAGAAGTTTCTAAGGAGAAAAATCTCAGGTTGTGATAATTCTCATTGGGAAATATTTGGAAGAGTGTTCTAAAATAATTATGGTTCAATTAAGCCAATGTTTGCCAGCACAGTGCAGTTTTCACCCTTGTTAGAAAATTATAAGATGTAGTTATACTTTCTTAAGGAAAAAGCTTGATTAAACCAATGAAGATTCTCTCCTACGATATTTTGTCTGATGACAAGTAACCATGTATGTCTTTCCCAATATCCTTACGAGTAGAAAAAAAAAGAAAAAAAGAATTCTTTTCTTGCTTCCCAGATTTGGAGATGCTGCTTTTACTGGATGTTCTAGATGGAGTATGGTATTATGAGAATGTTGTTCTGATGGTCTTGTTCTCGCTTTCCTACCCTTCTTTAAAGTTTTTTAGCCATTATCTTTCAGGAGGGCTAGGAATCTGAATTATATTTTAAAATGTTTTGACATTCATTTCTGTATTTCTCTCATCCTGCTTGGTACTCTAGGTGTGTAGGTCAAAGTATGTGAAGCCCCGAGTTTCAGGTAATATAAATACAAAAATGAAAGTTGCTTTTATCTAGGAAGCTGTTTTCAAGCTCACTGTAAATGAAATAACTTGGCAAAACCTACACTCTGTTATTGCAGGCTATTCTTACAAAATCAAACTAAGCTTGAAAATCATCTGTTCACAGGATGACAAAGAACTGGAAGATTTTCAGGTAAATTTGACGTTGTTCTGACTTCCATTCAGCATTCTGGTTTCTGGCAGAGAAAAGATAAAAGCACACTAGGAAAGGGAATGGATTTTTTTTCCTTATCTATTGTACTAATACCAAATAAATCACTTTTAGAATACCAGCAAATCCTGAAGTCTTGAGAAGAAAGTGACAAAAGGATTTCTTTTTTTTTGCTTTTTTACTGCACAGATGGTTCATGAGAAACACAGCAGGAGCAACAGTAAAACATTAATTTGTTCATTTCAAGAGATCTGCTGCTCTGCTGATAGTGTCACAAGCCATATTTGCAGCTGAACAGGTAAAAGGAGAAGTGCTGAGACCTTCATGTTCAAATTTTCTCTAAGTTCCGTATAATTCCAGCCCTAATTCATAACTGTTTAAATTTTAAATATGCTTCCTAGTAAAATTTTAATTATGTTACCCTCCTTCATGAATGACAGATGTTCTGTGCAGTGAAATCAAAAGCAATCTGAGTGCCACACACACAGAGTAATAGATAAATGCAAGGTGATTACTCTTTATGGATTTATTCTTAACTCAGTCATCAATAGAGTTTAAACCATATAGATTCTTTGTATGTACTGTAACTTCTATTATTAGATACTCATTTGTATATCTGCAATGCCTTGTAGCATAAACATTACCAAAATATAGACAGCCTCCAACCTTTACAACCCCCACAAAGACCTTCTCTATTAAAAAACAGCAGGTCCAGGATTGTGCTTCCCCCTTGTTGGCTCCTTCACCAGCTGCATCAGGAAGTTATCTCCCACAAACTCTAGGAACCTCTAGGACTGCTCCCCATCTGCTGCTGCACCCAACCAACTCTCACAGGGCACAACATGGTCACTGGCACAGCGCTGTGCCAAATCTGGGAAGAACGGAAAGGTCTTAAAGGAGTTCCTGGCAATGGGAGGTACGTTTTCAGGGCCTCATGGGCAGAATGAGGTCAGAAATGCTCCTTTCAGGTATGGGAATGAAAGGCATTCAACAAGGACTCAGCCACGTGTGCACAAACTCTGAGAAGGAAGGAGAGCTCCTCCTACTGTACTATAGGGCACTGCTCCTCCTTCCTCTCATTACCTCCTGTCTGGCTCCAGATGGAGATGTGAGAAAGGCAATGACTGTGATCTTCATGATCACATGGCCTAAGTACCAATGGGCACAAACTTAAGATCAACTCATTGCTTTCAGTATTACATAAATGGTGGAAGGCAGCAACCCCATTCCCAAGACAGAACCAGCCCTGCTACATCATGGCCATGTTAAAAGGGGCAGCCACCAGCTGCAGCAACTACAGTGCAGCTGAAATAACCATGTCGAAAGAGAACACTGCTGCTGGTGGATGGGTTCCAGAGCCAGCTTGGTGTCACAGCAGCAAAGAATAATGACCAGAAGGGCAGAGCCAGCCAGAGTTCTATGCCCAGTAACCAAGGGAGTCAAGGCTGGGGTGGTCAGGAGCAGCCATGGGAATGTATGGAAGCTGCTCCTCCTGTCCTGAAAGACACACCAAGGGATACGGAAACAGAAAGCTGGCAATAAGCTACTGTAGTACCACGCATTCGTCTACAAAAAAGAAGGAAGTCCTCTACAGCACAGAGAAGTCAACTGAAAACTAAGTCCCACCATGAAACGAAAAAACTCTGGAAAATAACGACTGACCAACTAACTGACAAGGAAAACATTTAAGAAGAGCAATCCGGTGAGCAGGCCTGTGCAGGGGAGGGTAGGATAGGGAAGAGGACCAGGAGGCTGCTCCTCCTGTGCTTCCCATCTGCCTTGCAGATGGACAGCCCGACACGAATGGAAAGAGGTGATCCCAAAGGCAAGAGATGAAACTCAACAACTGCTGTTCATGTCCTACAAAAAAAGATGAGTCTGC